GAGCAGTCCAGCCGTGCTATGGTCCGTTGCTACAATCCATTTGATCCTTATACAACCATTGCAAAAGCATGGTCTGTATAGGCAGCAATAAGTCAGGCTTATTCCTGGTGGGTGTTGGACTCTACCAATGCTGCCCTTTATCACTGATTCTGTTCAGAATTTCTAGCAACAGTAATTCTAGGCATTGCCTAATGATGTAAGGCTTCCACTTGAGCGGTCTCAGAATCTTGGCTCATGTAGATGATGTGGTTCTGATGGCTTCATTAGGTGGTGCCCTCCAGCTCACACTGGAACAGTTCATAGCTGAGTGTGAAGCAGCAGGAACGAGAATCAGCATGTCCAACTCTGTGGCCATGGTCCTCAATCGGAAAAGGGTTAAGCCAGAAGTTTCATCATGTTAAAAGGGAGTTTTTCCATCCTGCTGTCACCAAAACGCTTGCTCACAGTTGGTTTTCTCTGTTTTCCCTGTTATTATAGCATCTTTACCTTACAATATAAAGCACTTTGAGGCAACTGTTGCTGTATTTTGGCGCTATAAAATTACATCGAATTGAACTGAATTGCAGATCTACAGCTGTCTATGATGACATATTTTGGAAACAGCCAAAGACTGGGATAAAACTTGCTGGGTTGTTTGGTCAATGTCATTGCCACTGATTCAAAAGTGTAAAAGACAAGAAGTAGAATATTATGTATCCTACAACAGAAATACATAAATGATTACTAAATGGAGTACTTCAATCAATATAGTTAATTGAACTGTGAGTCATGCATAGCTACTTTAGTAGAGTCCAGGAATAAAAATATAGAGCTGGAGATGAACAGAGTAGGTCACCTTTAAAGAGATGCACTTATACTCACTGGTAAAGCCATTTAGGGTGATTATAACTTTTTAAGATGTGAATGTTACTCATAATGAGAGGAGTGAAGAGTTTTGCAGTCAGCTATGTTGTTTCTGCACTCATCAGTGTGTATGTACACTTGTATCAGGTTCCACATGTGCTCCACAGTTTTACACTCACACGCTAGGTGATAGCACGTCTGTGTTGTCTTTGCATGCCTTAGGCACACAGTGAAGTCCGACATGTGTGGCTGCTTTGACTCAGCACTGCTCAGCCGTGCTTGCTGAGTCACAGCAATGTGTTGTTGACATAGGGTGAATTATTTGCTGAATCTAGATGATGTTAGATACATAAATTAGAGTGAGGCTCAGGAGTGCCAAATGGAATGGCTTTCTATCAGTTAATTCCTCTCAATATGTATAGACAGTAGGCCAACTTATTGTGTTTTATTGTTACATCACACAACAGTACACTTGGCCGCTGTCCACGTGATGAATCAGGACAGAATAAATCTCGTAGTCATAACAACCCACTCTATTTATCACTCTCTTATTCTTTTACACGCTGAGGCTGGCAATTTAAAGCATCTGTGACCTTTTAACTCAGTGTAGATCAGCTTAACATGTTAACAAGTTTCAAATAAAACACGTTATTGATTTATTCAGTACATATATATATATCAGTATACATATGTATAGTAGCAATTCACAATAACAGTCATCTCAAATATCACAGTACAGAAACCCCAAAATTCAGACATGTCTCTATGACCAAGCACTTGATGACAGTGGGAAGAAAAACCTCCCTTTTAAAAGGAAGAAACTGTGGAATACTGTGAAAGAGAGCCAGAGCTGAATAAGCTGAAGGCATATTGCCTGAAGGAAACAGCAGTTGCCTGATCCAACTCTTACTATAAGCTTTTTAAAAAGGAATGTTTTAAGTCTGATCTTAAAAGTAGAGATGTTGTCTGTCTCCTGAATCCAAACTTGGAGCTAGATCCACAGGAGAGGGAACTCAGCAGAAGCTGAAGGCTCCGCCTCTCATTCTACTTTGAGGCAGTCTAGGAACCATGAATCAGCCTGCAGTCTGGGAGCCAAGTGCTCTGTTGGGGTAATAAGGTACTATAAGGTCTTTAGGATATGCAGGGCCCTGACTATGTCCTGATAATTACTGTGCACATTGTAAAGGTATGGAGAAGGCCTTTTGACAGTAAAACACACTGAAAACATTTCAAATGCATATTTCCAGTTGTAGCATCATTACTATATCTCTGCACAGATGAACTCCATGCATTATGGATGGCTGTTGGGATAAGGCTGCATTGCATATTAATAAATACCCTGGTGTTAGTCATTCTACAGCTTAAATGAAATACAGAAGAACAAAGCTGAATAGTTAGACTTTTGTGTCCTTACGTGTCTGTCATAAGCATGCCATGAAATCTTTTCATCTTTTTTTAAACCGATTACGTCCTTTGTTGCCTCCTCAGTGTGATGGGATCATTTTAGACCTCAGCAACACGTCCTTAGAAGGCATCGCTGTGCTCAACATTCCCAGTATGCATGGCGGCTCCAACCTGTGGGGCGAGACCAAGAAGAGGAGGAACTATAACCGCATGAGCAAGAAGGTTCCTGACAGGATGCCGGCCAGCACCGTCACAGATGCCAAAGAGCTCAAGTTTTGCATGCAAGGTGAGTCAAATCTGAAGGAGGATGCAAGAAGCCAGAAGCTGTTGAAAGCAAGTGGTGATATGCTTTCTACACTCAAGATAAATAATTTAAAAGATTCAGATTTCAGAAACTTCAACATAGAAGCAGGCAGCATCAAAGAAAGAGGACAAAAACGCTATGGCAAAATGTTTAGCCAGCTTCTTCGAGCTGGCCCTGAGATTGAAATGTGTGCAACTGTGTATGATTCACCTGCAAAACATCTTCAGATTCCCTCACTAACATCACCACAACCATTTGCTCCAAGGCTGACACTACTATGAGTGAAGTGGATGGAGTAGTTGTTGTGCTTCCATTCTGGTGTATACATTTTGTTTGCATTAAGTGTTTTTCAAACAGATTCAATGATGCCACCAACTCACAGTTAAGGCTGTTGTTTATGGGTTTGTTTGTTTTTTACTGTTTTTACATGAATAGTAAAAAAGAGTCAGTGGGTTTTTAACTAACTAATTAGGACACGATTTGCTGTACTTCAAAAGATCTCTTGAGTATCTCAAAGTTGTTACTTTTGGGCTCACAGTTGTGGAGGTGCTGTGGACTTAATTTTTATTTTCCGTGTGCAAATTTAAAGATAAGTGGGGGCTTAAATGGGAAAAGCACTCCAAAACACATGTGTGACTTAATTATATATAATTTATATAAATTATATATAATATAATTTATATATATATATTATATATATATATATATATATATTTGACAGTGACATTGATATATTTGAAACCGGAGAGAGGAAATCAGCATGCAGATCAGAGCAGGCATCAAAGACAACAGGTGTGACACTGATTAAGTCGCAAACAGCAAGAAATGAGGAGCTGGGCTGGAGCTGGGTTGCAAAGCGGCTTGCAGATTTGAAGGACTTGTAGGTTAAAGCAGCTTGAGCAGCACAACCTATAATGAGTTTCCTTTTTGACATGAAGAATATCAGCCAAGGCAATAGTTGATGTGGGCTGCCATACAGATTAGCCGATCTGAACTATTTTCCTTTCTACTAAACTACACAGCAACCAAAATAAGAGCACAGCTTTTTAAGGTTATTTTCACCATCATTGGACAGCACCGAATAGGAGACAGAGCACAGAGGAAGAAAAACACTGTAAAGGGCCTTGGGCCAGACTCAAACCCATGCTGCTATAGTGACCATGTAGCATATGGTCATCTGCTCAACCCCAGAGTACAGTGTCTTCTTGGGTTACTGAATCAGAGTTTGAGTTAGCATAGGCTTCATACAGTGGACTGAACCTTTTAGGAAAAATGTCTTAAAACTTTACATAGTAGAATTATAACTTGTAGGAAATACTTTTCACAACTGTTTTGGGCAAACTTATGAAACTGTAAAGCATTTTGCTCTTTTCATCAGATACAGTTTTTATGTGCTGCTGGCACATTGGTATTAAATGTGTTACCTCCAAATATTTGCCCAGATTTGTTCCAAGATGGCTACCAAATTTTGAGATTTGCCTTTAGAAGGTCTTTCTTAAATGCTTGTGTGGTTCTTACACCTCTGTATCACCCAACAACACGCTGTCTGTTCAGAGCTCGAGTACTTTAGATCCAAAACCCTTTTTCAAAGAGGAAATATAACAGGTTCTCAATAGAAAATTTAAGAATGTTCTGCTTTTAATAAGAAGGATTGAGTGTAACCTTTCATTGTTCTTGAAGCACAGCTTCCTAGCCATCTGTCGTTATTACAGGCATAAGCTTTTTATTTTATAGGCACATCATCTATGTAGCACCTTTACTAATGCATTCGCCTGTAGAGAGAAAGGACTGAATAGTTTCTATAATGAATCAGCTAATTTAACTGAAAATCTCCAAATAGCATCAGCACAATCGCTGACCGTCATCCCCTTATGTTTTCTGTCTTTATTAAGACAGAAAATACTTAGAAATAGATGTGCTGTGTATAGGTTCTGTATAGATACTGACGCATAATCTCTCAATGTGCTTTGCAAATTATGCTACTGTAACAATACTGTCACTAGGGTAGTCAGACAGATGGAGGCACTGTGTAGTTGCCAGGAAATAAAGATGCTGTAAAGTATTTCTCAGGACGGTAAATGTAAAATAGATTCATTCTATTTATTTAGTGGCTCCTGGAGTCAGGAAGTGCTGGCATTTAAGGACAGTGACAACCATCAAACATCTGTTATAGATGACTGCTTCAGAATGACCCCAACACTACGTCAGAGAGGAGACAGGAGAAAGCTGAGTAAATAAATAAAGAGAATTATATAAGAGAGACGATACATGCAGACACATTTTTTCAGACTGTGTCCTCAGATCCATGTTACCTTTCAGCCTCTGGGTGCTTTGGATGGTGACTGTTGGATCTGAGACAGTGATGCAATTAACACAAGTTTTCTGACATTGATACGTCCAGGTGGTGAGTGGTCACTATCTGAATGATTCATTTTAGGAACAAAGTTCTTCTTAATTAATGAAGCTGAATAAAAACAAGTACAGTGTTCTCTGTAGATTAGTCATCAAAATAACAACACATCAAACCACTGGCTCACAATTTACTTGGTTTTTAGATTTATTGAGAAAATGATGTCCTCTCCTTCTGGCTTGTCCAAAATGATAAAGCAACTGACAAAAGGTGAGCATAGAGATTATAAAACTATATGCTGGTTTTATAGTAGACTATTGAAAAACTAGAATGTGATTGTTTAAAATAGAAGCTGTCACGGTCCTGAGTCTAATGACTCAGTGTTTTGTGTTTGTTAACATTATCTTATGTTCTTGTTTATTCTGGTCTTTTGTTAAGATTTGCCATTTGTTAGTTTTCGGTTCGTTACTCCCACTATTCCTGTTCTGTCGGTTTTGAGTCTGTGTCTCTGCGTGTGCGTTGAGCTCCCTGCTTTACTTTGAAGGTCTGTGTCTTATGTCAGTGTTTTCAGTTTTGTGTGGTCCTCTGTCTCATCTGTGTAATCAGTGTCAGCCGCGTCTCCCAGCTGTTTCCCCTTAGTCCTGTTCACCTCTTCCCCTGCTCGTCATCGCGTCGTCCCTCATCTTACACTGTGCGTTCCGTTTGCTAGCTCGCCTGCCTGTTCAGTTTGTTTTGCATTCTCAGTTCAGTTAGTTTTCTGTTCCGTTGCAATGCAGCAATAAAGCTGAGTGTTTTGAGTTTACGTCTGCCTCCGTGAGTCCTGCTCTTGGGTCCACCATCCCTGTCTGCCTTCACACAGCCATGACAGAAGCACTCTTCCACATTGCCTTCATTTTGCCTTCCTGTGCATGTGTGTGTGCGTGTGGTTGGGGTAATTGTGTTCACCAGAAGCTTTTGTAACCTCACTGTGACTGTGACCGACTGAGCTCCTTAATGGATGTGAGTGGGCGTAACAGTGTGTGTGATTACCCCCCTTTAGTGGCTTAAAAAAACTGTGTGTTGGCATTTCAAGTGATTTAAAGTGTAATCTTCTCTAAACACCAAACAGTAATATTAATCTGACTAAGTTGCAACTTTTGGATATAATTAAGAGTTCTTACTATTTTTGTTTTGTTTTGTTAAATCAGCAAGTTACAGTTATATTAAGAGCAAAACAAGGATGTATGAAAGTACCTGAGCTGGAATTTTGGATAGTGTTTGTTTTTTTTCTTTCTTTTATTTGACACTGCTGTCCATGTAACTACACATCATCTTCTTCCTAAGAAAGAACAGTTTATTCAGTAATGCTTTCATAGTTGAAGCTGTGGCTATTAGACAGTCTGGATAATGACACTTCAGCTTGCATTGAGTGTTTCCTGAGAAGAGGGGTTTTTTTTCTGCTGCACCACATCGAAGCCTTTGAAGATTTAAAAACATCATAATAACTTATTTGGGTCTGGAGGACCTTTACCTGTTCTATAATTTATTGAAATATATTTCTATTTAAATTGTTATGAAATAAGTGTGTAAGATTTACAAGCAGTAACCTCTGCAGCTAACAGAGTGAAGCCAACTGAACACGCCCTATAGACGTCAATTTTAACACCCAGCTTTTTTTGGCCTGGAACAAAAAAAGAAGGTTTTGAAATCTACAGAAGGTTGATCCCTTTGTAAGAACTATATACAGTATCATCTTTGCAAGTGCCCAGTTTGGGGAGGTTAAAAAGATGGGTAAGTTTTTGTTACAATGGATTTAACTGTTGTAATTACATGTTTTAGGGCTGTTGCTATGTTACACACATTAGATGTGACAGTTATCTTGACTGTAACGACATGGCAGCTTTTGAAATGTGTGACGGTGACTGACTACCAGCATTACACTTCTAACTGCCAGTGGCTCCAGGGCTGCTGCAATATGGCTAAGACCAGTAACATCTTTATGCATTTGTTTAATGCAAACCAGCTTATGAAATGTGACGGTGTGATCCTTACTGGGAACTAAAAGCTCCTGCAAATGCTGCTGAAAGAAAACACAAGTGTTGTAATGAAACCTTGTGCCACAATAAAAGACTAATTCACATCTGAATGAGTTTTATTTTTCAGATTCACAGTAGAGTCACTAAAATACAGCAACAGCATTACAATCTTAATATTAGTGGAGTATTTTTTAAAATACTCTTGGGGCACTTAGTATCTAAAGTGGCCTTAAATATCTTGCATTATAATTTGGAGTTAGAATAATTAAATTTAATTGTAAATATAATTCCTAAATACATCTTAACCCGAGCAGATAATGATTAGTTATAGAGAACTGACTGGGAAATACTGTTCCAGTGATATTGGCATTATTGTTAGTTTGAAAATGTCATTATTAAATCCATGAAACATCCTAAGTTGTTCATAAGTATTTCTGGTTAACTCTGGTCCTTCATTACTGAGGCATTCATAATTAGTTACACTTTTTTATGCATCATCATGTAGCAACTCCTCACACAGAGAAGTTATTCAGTAACCCCTCGTGACTTCATGATTACCTAACCGTAACTCACCATTTATGTTCCCTCATGTAAAGTGAACTGTGTACAGTAGCTACTAAGCAACTACCCAACATAATCTTCACTATTTTTTCCTTAATAGGCAATCACAGACTGCATAACACCCAACAAGTGTTTCACTCATAATGTTCAGACCACATTAATATTCACATCATGTCATTAAGGATGTGTACACCCACTCACAGCTGTGGAGCTGTTACTGACTGAATTTGATGATAATGTTCGGGTAGGGGAAAAAGTGCCTCAAGCTTAATGGCCAGTACATAAAGTTACGCTTTAAATGTGACAATCTGTGTGAGATTGGTTTCTTTTTACTGTTCTGTTCTTTCAGTATAACTTTGCATGTGGTCAGTCTGCACGAAGACTGCAGTCAGAGCCTCCCCTCAGTGGCCACAAACAATAGAAAATAACCCACTCTGTGCTTTCACCAAGGTTTTCTGCATCCATCCCACTTTCATTTCTTTCACACAAGTCTGCACATCTCTGCTGACTGAACTAAACCTTGTTTCCATGGAGATCTCAGTGCTACACTGAAGCAGAGAGTTCAAAAATACAGGAGAAAAGCTAGAAACTGAAGGAGGAAGAAATGATGAATAGTCACTTTTATGCATTCAGAGTTTGTTATTGCAGTCTTCACTCTCGTCTGCATTTTAAGTCCAGTACGGTGTAAGATGGTAAGATTGTTTGCTGAGTTTGCAGTCTTTAGCCCAAACATTGGGGCTGCAGGGCACTGCTCAGTCCACATGTCCAAATATTAGACTTTTACTCTCTATAACTATTTAGACCGCTGTAAATGCAAGAGCACTCAGCTTATGTTGTTAATCTTCACCCAGGGTTTGAACTCCTGACCCAAATCCACAACACCGGCCTCTTACCAAAGAGGTAGCTGTCCTCGCTTGAAGTGATTTTCCTTATCTCATTACACAGACTGACCAGAAACAAAGCCTGCTCCTTTTAGTTGTTGCTGGAGTGAGAAGCGATGTATGATGTGAAATCAGGATTACTATTTATAAAGGATTAATAATAGAAGAATCAGTGATTGCTAACTTTAATCCTTTCCAACATGGGATTTTGGTGCCGTTCTCTGTTGTTGTAGACTGGATGATCCAGTTTAACCAAAATAAAAAAGCTAAAAATGTAATAAGAGCTGAGTCAGCACTTCTCTGACAGAGAAGAGTTAACAATATGTAAATCTGTCATGTTCATCAAGATCATAAATAACATAACCTTTTAGGGTTCTTTTTGACTGCATTGCAATGTACAAACATGGACATGGATTGTGCTTTTATTTAGGTTAGATAAACATGCACATACGTCCATGTGTTTCTATTCCAGGTGTTCAGTGGAAAAAAAAGTGTGTACCTTTAACTAGCTTCACCCACCATTGTAGTTTATAGCAGAATATGTTTATTTCTTTGTGACTTCATTCACATTGTGCATGCTGGCACCTTTCTGATGGAATCTCTGTTCTCCAGAGCAGTCTCTGGGGATTTAACCTTTATTGAATTACACTCTCCTGCTAATGCGGTTTAGAAACAGGAGTGCTTGAGCTCCAGAGAGAAACTGTGTGCTGGCTCTGCATTTTCTCTTTCTCTCTGTGTGTGTGTGTGTGTGTGTGTGTGTGTGTGTGTGTGTGTGTGTGACCTCTGTCGCTGTCTATGCTGCTTGTTTATCATACTATTAACTGTTTATGGCAGTTGCCTTCTGTGGCACAATAAACTAAAGCTTTTAAATCAATTTGCTGTAGATAATGCAATCAGCCAGGGTCACCCAGAGAGAGGGTGGGTGCTTGTAACCCCAGTGATGAAACTTCAGTCCTGTGATTCACCACCTTTGCTACTCTGGTCTATGTTCTATGATTTCATACTAAATAATACAACAATAATAAATAATAGTCACTTGAGTTGTTTAATTGAAAGGGGACCCATACTTTTCTTTATTCTCTGTCATATATATTATGTTACAACGGTGGATGTTCTTGTTCATATTATACACGGTCAGTGTTTTAATATTCTCTGCGAGCCAAAAGATCAGGTTACAAGTTGCTTTAAACACGCTGTTCAAGACACTTTTTCTGCTCTCACATCTCTGTGAATATTCACCACACATGTGGCAGACTAGCCTCCTGCTAACTCCATAGTGTTGTATTTAAACCTGTAAATTTGGCCACAAAAACACTGCTTTCAAGAATAACAAGATATTATAACAAAAAACAAAATAACAAAGAAACATATTTAGTGTGTGTATAAGTCATCCCCACAAGCCAAAACACTAAACACTAAGAAAGTCATTTCTGCTAATCCATCTACTGTTTAAATGTTGTAAGTGTAAATGGAGGGAAAAGGCATTCACAGGGTGGATGAACTGAATACCTGCACGGAGGCCCAGTATAAGAGATGACAACCTGAACCATGAATCATTCAAAGCCCTTGCAGAGTGCAAGAGGAAAAATGCAGGAAGAGTAGGTCCTCTTTAAGCATTACCTAAAGGGGACATACTCTGTTAATACTGAAAAGTTCTGCTATTAATGATTAAAATGAAAACATTATTCTGTTTGCAAAAATGTAACTCTTGGAGTGCGTGATCGATATTTCTCCAGTTCTTGTACCACTTGTTCAAAACAGACATAAGTTGTAACTAGCTTATGTCTGTGATAGCCTTCTCCTTTTAGCTCATGAACGGGAATGATGAAGCCTTAAGAAGCAAACATTTTGCTTGAGATAGATTAGAATATGGCTTTTTGTTTCTGACTGCCCAGCACAGATTTCACACTTCTGTAGTGACTTTTCCTGCAGCTCTGAGAACTGTTAAAAATGTGTTTATGGTTAAGGCATCGACTGTGAGGCATGCGGCCCCTACCTCACATCCAGCTGAGACCTTTATTGCATGCCAGTGCCAGCCTCTTTCTCCCTTTGCTTCTGACAACCTCTCTGCTCTTACTGTCTAATAAAACACTTCACACTCAGATACACCTCAAAAATTCAGCCCCAGGTGAGGTACCCATTGACAAAATCAGGTTGAGTTAGTTTACACTTTTGGAAGAACTGTAGCACCACCCTCGTGCAACACGACTAACCCAAATAAAATAAGGACCAAGTGTAATTAGGGGATTACAGCGGTAATCTTGTAACGTGCCTCCTTCTGTCCTTACCTCATCTTCTAGTCTGGCTGCTGTTCTGACATGAATGTGTAAATTTCACTGATTTAAAGAGGACATAAAGCATTAAAGTTTTGTGTGAGGTGGAGAGATAAATTCAGCTGAGTGAGAGAAGACAGTGAGGGCTGGAGCTGCTGACAGAAACAGGATTCATGTAGGAAGGACATCACCACGCTCCTCCTCCACTTTTATCTCCGCACCATCTTCCCCCTCCCCTGTTTATTTCCTTTATGCTCCTGGATCAAGTTTCCTCAGCTTCCTGCTGCCAATTGCACTGGAAAGGATGCATAAACATAATGTGCATGTGGCACACAAGCTTCTCGTGAAAGGAACTGAAACTATGAACACTGAATGTGCTGGGTAATGGGCAACATTAATCAGTAGCAGCACGTTAATGCAATTATTTTACCATTACTAGTAAATCCAGTTAGATAAAACAGTCCTTGGAGAATATCGGCTTGTTTGCTTGCTGGAAGGTGGACGGATGCTTGATGAAAAAAACAAACAAACAACTAAAATACTTTATTTTACTGATTAATTTGCTCTGTTTAGAGAACAGTGGAACAGCCAAATACATAGTGTGATCAACTAATAGTGTAACTGTGACACTCGTGACATCCAGTACAAAGATAAAAAATCCTTTTATTATAGTAGAGCGGAATAATACAGGCAGACGGGAAATAAGGAACAGAAAGATGTGACGTGCAGGAAAGTCGGAAAGTACGGGAGCAAACCTTAATGACTGTTTGGTGGCACGAAGCCCGTGTGAAATGCACACATGATATTGGATCGCCCGACGTTTTTAAAACTTTTTCTTGCATCACATGACAATTTCTATCCTGTGTAGGCCAACTGGAGTGCAGATGTAAACACTGTGCTGTGACCCTCAAATGGTTCTAGTCTTTTGTGTTTTTTAAGCCAGTCAGTTGAACAGACTGACTGTTTTTATTTTGTTTCTGTCAGTTCCAGATTTCATCTTTTCTGTAGCGTCGCACAGATCGCACATGAGCTATGATTCATCAGTGACCAACATGTATAATTGATGCCACAATCCAAAATGAAATCACAGGTTTGAGTATGTTTAGCAGCATTCCACCTGTGGCACATTTACATGTATTCTGATAATGCATATTTCTGTGCCTTTTTCCTGACTGACTGGCACATGCAGGCAGATTTCTCTGTGTGTCTGAGATGATCAAATTAACGAAATTGACTATAAATAAGAGCCATGAATAGGAAAAAAAAGTGTTTGAAGTGGAGTATTTAGTGGACTTTGAAGTATTTGGCTCTGATGGATTACAAAATTTCAGTACCAAAAACACTATTAAAAAATGCTGCTCCCCATGCTACCCGATCCTACCCGTGAAAGAGCGTGACCACATGACCACCAATGTACACACCCTTCAACTCAGATGAAAACACAACTTCACATCTATGCATGTCAGGTGAAACTGAGAGAACCATCTCATTCTTTATAAGGTGACACAAGTAAATAAGTAATCTAAGCAGTGCTTGTCTTCATTCCAGTCTTCTAATGGTACATTTTTTCAAGAGTACATGTAGAAGTTATACCTTTATATCGGTGCAGAGTTTATGTTATGAGCATAACTCTAACCCTGAACCAAAGAAATTTCCGTGCCTACAACTAGCAGAACAGAAAGTGAAAGGGAAATTAACAGTGGGTTTAACAACATAAAAGTAAACTTCCAACAGTTGCCAGTGTTGTAATGTCTGCACCTCTGTCAGTGTTTCAAATTCAACTATTTGCTTTTGTTGATCTAGTATTGCCATAGCAGGTGCATCAAAGCTACAGCACCCACAACAGCTTCTCACGAAAGAGCAGCATTTGAGAGCTTGAGACTGAGAACGGTTTAATAAAGTAGTCTTAAACTGCCGTCAGCTTATTGATTAAAATAATCAAAGTCTGTGTTCCTAGTCGCTACAGGGGCTAAAGTAGCTGTTGGCATTCTCTATTTACCTTAAAACTATAGACTGTTTGCTCAAGATTAAACCCCACGTCACAGAAAATGTGGCTTGTGGCTGCAGTAGTGTTGGAAACTACTCCGTCCTATGAGTCATGTAATATAAATCCTTATTCAGTGACAACTTGTTTGCAATTTTCACACAATTAGCTTGACAATGACAGGATGTAGTCACTGCTGAAACCTGCTAGTTCAGGTATATGCTGGCCTCCATTCATGACTCATTTGTTTTCTTTCCCCATTTGTCCGACACTGTGCCTCTCCTCATCCACACTTCACATCGGAGTTCTCTCCCTCCCCTTACCTCTTCGTTCTTCTTTCCCTGCTTCCCAAGACCCACAATTCCACCGCCACATCTCCCGCCTACTCTGCGCAACAGGAGTCCAGCTGTGACACACCACAAAGGACTCTATTTTTAGGAGAATTGCATCCACACTGCATACTGTTGTGTTCTCACATAACAGAAACAGCAGAGTATAATTACTCTGATCACCCCCACCAGTCTGTGTGGCTGGAAATAGTTCCTGTATGAAGTTGGAGAGCTGCTCAGTGTATGGTGGAGAGCAGATGACCTTTCAGTGATACATTTACTCAAAGTTAATGAATGACAACTTGTACAAGAGGCGATCACTGTCGTTCTCCTGGGAATGGAAAACATGACACATTTCTATAAGCTTATTAAAATTGAAGAGGAATATAAAGTGTTCTTTCCCACGCTTGTTTTTCTCCCGTCTGGAAAATTTCTCATGGCTGTTTGTATCTGGACAATGCTGGGACCGAAATATGAAATTTTACCATCTGGGTCCTGACACGTCCAGGCAAGGATTCAGTAGCAGGCTGCGTGTATGTATTTTTGTACTGGATCATAGTAACATAGTGTTCTTTGTCAAACGGCCAAGTGCTCTCCCCTGTACCTTTACCTCTGCTGGGTCTGGCGAGGTGAGCCGCAGTTCCTCTTGACCATCTGCCATAACTCCGACCACCCTGAGACAATAACAGGCCGGCAGTTGAAGGAAGGAGAGAAGGAGAGAAAGTGGGTGGAGGAAGGATACACAAATATGTCTGCTTATAATTATAGTCCCACACCTCTAGCTGATGCAAAACGAAAGCTGCAGCTATTTCAGAAAGGAAACTGTAAATAATCTCTTGGTATAAATAGCTCATTACTCAGATGAGAACAAAAATGACGAGCTTCTTAAAGTCAGCAAAACCATTCAGAAATGATTGTGTGTGAGGTTTTACCACCAGTAAGGTTCGGCATTGATGTTTTGGATGTATTTTGAATAGTTTCAAGCTAAAATAAACAGATTGGGAAACACCATCTTGACATTTTTAAGAACATATCACAAACTAGTTGAGATATCAGGTTCGACTCGTGCGTGGAGGGAATTTGACTTCTTGATGGAGTTATGCAATCTCACACTGCTCTGTTTTCCTCTCTGCTTTGAAGTACTTTACCAAGAAATAACAAAGGAGGATTGTCTCAGTTTTCTTTTGGTCCCCCAAAGTGATTGCTGAAAAGATGCTGGTAGATGCTGTGGACTCGTGGTATCAAAAGAGATGACCTGAGCCATCAGAAGCTTGTGGAGTTTTTGTGGGTTTTTTAAACGTTTTAAGGCCTGATTGACTCTGAAAGACACTGCCAATATAACTCTAGCTTCCAGCAGTACTCTCCTCATTCAAATATCCAATGTTGTGATTATGTAAAAGTCTGGTTCAGTGTAATAGCAGCCCTTTTGAAACAGTAATCTCCTGGAAAAATCAAGATACTTGGGCAATTCGTTTTTGGGCTTTTAAATGGCTCAACCTCTTGGCTATTTTTTCAAACCCCTACCTGGAAAACATCCCAGATTCTTTCAGTAACAGCTCTACAGCTGAACAGCTTCAGGCTACATGGTTAAAAACACTTTCTGAAGAACAATAAGTCCACTTGTCCTTATCACCAGGCCAATTGCAGGGACTAAAAAATTCCCTCAAAAATTCTCCCCAATCAAGCAAATCACAATAAAGCTGCATCCAAATTCACACAAGCGTATGAAGTTTTCTTTGCTCATGCATCATTAGCCGCTCTTTACAATGCCAGGATCCCCACACTCGCTAGTGAGAATGTAACGAAATTTGGTTGTTTGCTACTACATGTGAGAAAAGACAACTGTAGAACATATCCTGACCTGATCCTTGCAGAATTGCTCAAAGTGACATTTATTTGTAAAATGTGGACTACAGCTAGATTTATTTTAGTTTTCATGTCAGTCTTTCTACTTAAAATGTAATTTAGGCTTCAATTACAGGATATTTTATATTCATTTCCATATATTTATACAGAGTTACAATAGTGGATGCTGATAAACATGTGCAAATTTATACTGGGCACCTGTACCTGTGAGCCAAAAGTGCCGAATGCTAAATCCTCCACATCAGACAGATCTTTCCTCTGGACTTATATGTCTGTGCGATAGCTCGCCCTGTCTAAGGCCTCAAGCTCTTGCTGTTTAGACCTTTCTGCTATTGAGAGCAGCAAATCAGAAGAGAGCTATCGTAAAGTTAGGAGGAAGGGAACTAAACCAGCTATTTTCAAAGAGAGAGTAAACTGTAGGACTGCATCAAGTCCCAATATAAGATATATTTTGCAAAGCTCCTCTAATAGATTCCAAGAATACAAATATGAAGCGGGTAATATGTGTGATAGTTGTCCTTTTTTTCTCCTTTTTTCTCATCTTTTCAGTTTACATGTTTTCATGTCATTAGAGAAAAAATAAGGTTTTCTCAAAAATTCCCCAGAATCAGCATTTCACATGCGTCGTTGTTTAAAATGACTTTTCTGTGGCTTCGTACTGACTGCACAGCAGAGAAAATAGTGCAGCACAGCAGCAACAATTCTCACTGCCCGTTTCTTGGCAAAGCAATGCCATCCCATCCCAGAATGCACTGTAGCTGTGTTATGTAAGAGGCTGTTCTAGTCTATTCTTAGCTCTACCTCACTGAGAAAGTAACAGTGCTGGTTGCCTGAGAGTCAAAAGCGCATAGAGATCTGATGAGGCGGGAATCATCAGTGAGGTGAGAACCAGCACAGTGGGCTATTTTGCCATCAGGCTCTCACACTGGGACACTGGCAGGACGGCATGCCCATTTTTGGTATTTGGAGGAAGTAGAGGTGTAGAGGTGGGCATACGAGCGAGCGGATTTTATTTTTAATACTAGAACAGGAAAGAGATGTATAAATAGTGCTGTTTTAAAAATAGGACACGTCACATTGACAATTTCTAGCTCTTCAAATCTAGCAGGAGACATCTAGGCTGCAACTTTCCTCACAAACCAAATATACACTACAATATGTTCATGTTTACATCCAGACTTCTGGTTAATTCCCATCTGCTGTGCGGCCACTGTTTCACCAGCCCCTGCTTCTTGATCCCCTAGTCTCCAACTGTGCCATTTTTTCTCGATGGATGTCGAATCCTATTATAATTATTTCCAGGAAAGCTTTGCAGAAGCAGAGCGATGTATGCAGCGAGCATGTGTCTGGGCCTGTGTAGCAGCATGTAGTCACAGGATGATGTAGGATCACGAACATGTGGTCGGGGCCACAGCTGTCATTTAGAGTACTGGGATTTTGTCCTGAGAATGTTTTCTGGGAACTAAGCGTTCTGTAGTGAGACAGATAAATTTGTACTGGATTTGAACTGTAAATCATTTTTTTTGTAAGTGGTAGAATAAAGAAGAATGTATTATATGTCCAACGTGTTATACCAAAACCTTTACATGCTTGCAAAAGGTGAGCTTAGTAAAGAATGACAGGCTGAAGACCAAACCACTGTGAGACATGAGGGGAGTCCATTTTTCCAACTGTTTCTATATTTAACATTGTGTAACATCATATAATTGCATTTGCAATGATGCAGTGAGAAGGACAACTCAATTTCACACAGTGCAGATTGTAGTAGAAGTTAAAATTGCCATTAACTGTAGACATTTTATGGACATATTTAAGAAATATCTAGAATTTAACAATATATTTATTAGGAAGTAAGTACATTCAGAGATGTTAAGAGGGTTGATTGCAATGATAATCTCTCACTTTTTTACAGCTTGGAACATTCAGTAGCCAAGTACCGCTTAGCTTCCATAAAGGTTTGTAAAGGGCAAACACACAAAACGTATCAGGTGAACAGACTTTTCCTTCAAATACAGTTTTTCTGCTTTGGGCAGCTAAAGAAATAAACCCCTGCCTGCTCTGCTACAACTTCGAGATGATAATTTGAGACTTTGTCATGTATGTATTGATATTGTTTAAAGAGAGATGTGTGGTGGTGACAGCTGACGTGTCTTATATGTGTCTACTACTCATCCTTTTTCTGCATCTAAATCTGTATTTGTCACCATAGATGTTCCAGCTGTATTAGTGTACTAGCTAACTCTGCAGAACTTCTATTCTATGCACTCTAGCATCAATAAAAACAGTTAGCCATCACCACACTTTCAATCACTGCATGTACTTGGTATTACACCCATGTATGTGTCAAAGCCAACACCAAAGCTGTGTAATATCCCCCAAAGCCACAGCTACGCTCAGACTCATGAAGTCAATGAGACGGCTGGCCCTTTCAGTATGCTTTTTGTTTGTAAACTGATCTGTTTACTTCTTGTTAGATTGCTTTTTGAATAAACATAGCAAAACAGGCAACTGTATCTGTGAGACCTCATTAACAGTGCAGTCACTGAACTGAATCCCTTGACCAGTTCAGTAACTTTTGGAGCATTTTAATGTAATTATCTGACAAATAACATGGACTGCTGTGCGGTCCACTGCCTCCAGTTGTTTTGGTGTTATTTTCCACTAATTAGCCAATATGTGTGTCTGTGCACTGTACCCATACAGTTTAAGGATGCAGCTATGAGTGGAGGTTTCTGATAGTTCAGTCACATCAGAGTAAAAATGGGATAGTAACTTCTATGCAAAGAGGTAAAAAAAAAACAGCAGCAAAACAAGACAAAACAAGTATTTTTTCATATTCAGAAAGTAGTTGTGGCAACCATCTGCTCACACAGAAGTTTAGCATTCAACACTCTCTGCCTCTGGACTTTCAGTCAATTCCATTATTTATGGAGGAATTTACGAATTTCTGTTTCAAACCCATCACCGTATTATCTCAGATGGCATGTAATTGCCAACTGGACTCCATTCAATCACAGACTGATACTGACTGATGTTCTGTCTCTGTCTTGTCACACGCCAGTGTGTATGAGCAGACTTGTATTCGTAAGGTTTCTCCATGTAAGTGTCTAATAGTGGGTGTGGGGAGCCATAGCCCTGTCCTCCAGGACATGAAGCAGGCATGGAGGAGATCCGGGGCCCCAGACATCTAGAGGCCCACCAGGGGCCTGGTGGTGGGGGGGTTGGTTCACCCAGCAGCCACAGTGCAGAAGCCACAGGGGGCCGCAGCCACAAGCCCCCAGGATCCTCCGGCTTCCGACTACAACAGAGCGGACCGAGCCCCCGGCCCTGAGACCCGAGATCCAAGGGCCCTCCACACCCTGGAAGGGGCCCGACTGAGTCAGGGGAACCAGGCCCTGCCAAGCAGCACCCAGTCCCTGACACAGAGAACCACTAATGCACCGGCGAGCTAGTTTCATTCTTAAATATGTTGATGTAGCAAGTAGACACATTTTGTTTGCTAATTAGTGCCAGTAACAGATTAATAAAACCCTCAAATTAAGCACAAAATTCTGCTTCCCCC